AGGCCGCCGAGCTTTTTGCCCGCTTCTCTCCGGCTCCTCTCTTCTCGCTTTCGTTTTTTTCCCCCTCGTTGTGGGGCGTTTGGGTGCGTGCGGTGTGAAAGCCGTTAGCACGGTTTGCCGCCACCTCCAGTATCCCCCTTCGTATGCAGCAAGTGACTAGTAGCGGGGGGGGTTGTGGCCGGTGAAATCCGCGGCGCATTTGTTTCTTACAAACTTCGTACGGGTCAAATCGCGGGAGTTACTTATGTAAGCAGCGGCGTTCTGTTACTGCTGCCGGTTGTTCGTTATCCCGATGGTAGCTTCGTTACTCGTCCCGTGGGTTTGTCTGATCTTTCTGGCTCTGTGAGCTATTTGCTAAAGTGTTTACGTGGCCAAGAAACACAAAACGTGCCGCGTGCCCCAGAAAGCTAAGGAAAGAAGTTGTTCTGGAAGCGCTGTGATGTTCCCTGGCCGTATGGCGTAATGGCGCTGGGCGCAGCTAAGTGCGAAGCTGTGCTTCAGCCCTTCTGGATTTCCTCTTCAGCCCTACCGGCGACGGCGTAACGTAGCCAATGTCGGGCACCCTATCGCAACCGTGAACTGCTTGAGGACCGCTCAGAGTCAGAGGTTAACAAGCTCTCCGGTGCAGCGGGAGAGGGCAGTGTTGGTCCGGCAGGACAGATTTAGTGTTTCCAGGTCTCCTCCTTAAGCGGAAGGGGAATATCTGAATTTACCCTGTGTAAGAGCCAGTACAACAGACAGGTTTATCTTGGGAGCAAAGGTGAGCTTGCCTTATGCTTAGGAGACGAGTTCATGGTATCAGAGTTGCTTTTTCGGTGAAGAGCAGGTATCTGCTAATGGGGAGAGCTGGGGAGCTTGCTGTTACCCATGTAAAGACCCTAAGAGAGCCTTTCATGGCAGGAGTAGCATTGGGACAACATCTAACGCCCTGCTGCTGATTCTGAAGTTAACAGCTCATTCCTGAAACCTTTTGCTGTGATAAAAACGTCTCCTAATCCTTTATTCTTGCAAAGCTGTTCCTCTCCCATGCTAGCCTGGGAAAACTGTTTTGAAAGTAAATTAAAAGTCCTAATGCACCTGGTATTAGCTGGCTGCACCAACTGTCCTCCTGTCTCCACAGATGTACTGTGCTAAATTTTCTATGCACCAGTGAAGATTTTACAAAAGTGAACGTTGCTCGTTCCTCAGAAGTGAGTGTTTTGTGTGCTGTGATTGTTCTTCAGATATATATACAGAATAATGACTTTTTTTTGCCCCTGAAATCTGTCATCCAGAGACTGTCATCTAGCTCTTAAACTGCTTCAAGTGTCTTATTTCTGAAGGGAACAAGGCAAGCTCGTTGCATACCTCACTGATGCAAACTGACAAAAGATCTTTTCCTATCTTCTTGCGTTTCTTGAAAGTGAAGAAATAGTGCCCAGTATTTCTGGCCTGATCCTACCATAACCAAGAGAAAGGCCAGGTGGATTCAGATTTAACTCAAATTATGAGAATGCTGAAGTTAGTTAATGTATTTGTAGTTGTTATCTTGAGATGTAATTTACCATGCTGATTGCCAAAGATTTGTGAATAGCAGTGTTCCCTGCACAGAGAAAAGTGAAAGGTCACCCAAAGGTGCCTGGAGTATGTGAAATGTGCTAGAGAGTATGCAGCATAAGGAGTTGTGGGTTGTATGTGGGTTTTCTGACTGTGATGACTGTATGAGTAAGTCTTAATTAAAACTAATGCAGTAAAATTGTAGATTGGGAGAAGTTCTAATTTGATCCAGATAGTGGATGTGTTGTCACTGTGGGTTTTAAGGCAACAATGTTTGACTGAGATTGACATTAAAAAAGCAGCTGGACTGATTAGGTTGCTGGCTTCTGCTGTCATCAAAATATGAATAGATTGACTTTCTTTCTGCTCTCCTTTATATGCATTTGTATATGAAGTCCTCTAGGTTCTTGTCTTTAGGACTTGTATATGAAGTCCTCTAGTTCTTTCCTGTACTTTGGTTGCTTTCTACTGTAGGGTTATGTATATCTGGCTGTAAAGGAAAAAATGTAATCAAGAGGAACAAAGCTTTTGCCATCTGAGGTTTCAATGAACTTCTGCTAAATTAATTTGGTGGACTTTCGTAACTCCACTAGAGTAGTATATTCTCTGTTATCTGAGTTTACTGTAGTTAGAGGTTGCATGAGATAAAATCTTGGTGTGCATGTGGGGTCTGGTTTCAGAGTATCAGTAGTGTTTGGAGGGAGATGTATTTGTGTCTTGTCAAATGCCTTCCTGAGTTGCAGTTAGTTCAGTGAGAGGGATTGTGTCTTAACTCAGGAGATGTACGTACGGGAGGAGTTGCTTCTGTGGGTGAAGGTGCTCTTTTGACAGTGGTGATTTTGTCCTAATCAATGCATTATTATTATTTTCTTCTTTTTTCTAGGCATTTGTGAAAACCGTTCTGACTGCAATTCGTGTATTGGTAGTGACACAAATGTAGCAGGCTGCAAGTGGATCACGTGTGAAGGTAAGGAGGACTACACTGCTGATCCTTACTATGCGCTGCAGAACTTTAAACCCAACTAGACCTGCTTCATCTATATTAATCTTCATTACACAAATATTCTTTTTGATAACCCAATGGAGCATTAACTCATAAGTTGTATCTGTTGTTAAACATTTCAAGTTCTTATGTGGAGACAGCTGAAGATGTTCAAAATAATCCCAGATTTTTAAGGCTTCCGATTTAAATCTGACATGCAGACACCTCCCTTTTGAGGTTTTATCGTATACTTAGTCACAACCACTACTCCTGAACTGAAGTGCAATAAAGGAGAGGAGTCTGTTAAGTAAGATTAGTTAAGAGTAGTGTTCCTCAAACTAAGAATTGCAACCCACTGAAAGAAACATGAGAAAGCCAGGGAGGTATTACCCGGTCTCATTCAGAGCCTTATTTTTCCCATTGTAGGAGAGTTTGATGTAGTTACATTTAGGTGACCTCTGGTATTCAGTCCTGGAGGACGTGAAGTTGCTGTTGACAAAGTCATACAAAGACTACATAAGCAGTCCTGAGGTGGATTATTTGTACTTGTTATGTGAGGTGGAAACAGAGTAAGAGGAGAGAATGGCTTGACTGTAGCAGTGATTTTTTTTGTAGCACTTGGTTGTAGATGATCAAGAAACGTTATATACGAAAGCTAAGATGCTTTGAAACTAATGAAAAAATTCGGATGTAACTGGTCCAGTACAAGAGTGTCCTTCAAGAAGCTCCTTCTCTGAATTGTGCACGTGTTGCCTGACCAACAGGCACATGCTGCAAACACCCAAGAGATCTGTGTAACTTCTTTGAGAGAGAAGTTGAAATCTGAGTCAAGGAAGAGGCAGGCAGAGGATAAGAAACTGATGTCTTCAACAGTTTCAAGGTCAAGGATCTGTTTGAAAAGCTGGAACTAAATTTTGCTTGCATGTAGAATTTTTTAACACAGTAAGATTTTTATTTTTTTAATAATAGTACTGTAGAGATGCAAAATGTTTAACGTGAAAAATGCCACAAGTAGTAGAAACACTGCCTAATTTTATAGGCTACGAAGAAAAAATATCAAGCTATACTGTTACTGCAAAATAGTGCATAACCATGTATAAGTACTGCTGAAGTGTTGATTTGAGTGGTAGACTAACTGTAGTGAAAGAAAATACTAGAACTTTAGTAATTTCTAATTATTGATATGATACTGAAGTTCTGCGTATTGAAGTGGCTTTAATGTTATCCTGGCTAGATAATGGTATTTAGTTTGTCCTATGAACAGTTTATTAGTACTAGGGAACAATGTCTCAAACACTTTAAAGTTCTGCTGCTGTAAATATTCTTGTCTCTTCTTTTGTGACAGGAAGCATGTGTGTAAACGAAACTGAAGTAGGTTTGAAATACCAGAACTGTACAGTTGAGGAACAGTGTTCTTGTAAGTATTTAGGTATTCAGCTTTCATATTGTTTAATGTGAATCAGTTGCGTTTACAGCTCCTTCATCTGTTGACCTCTGTTAATATGCCTTCTACAATTTACATAGCATGTACAAGTGTGTAAATAAAGCCCTTTGCTTCCAGCTTAAACCTATGATATGTGATTCTAAAATACACAATTTTTGTTGTGCATTCAGTTAACTGCTTACTGTTGCTGTTTCAAGAAGCCTGACGTATTTTACTAGACACATGTCTGTGGCTAATGCCTTGGTTTATTAGATTAAAATAGGTGATGCTTTCTGTTATGTATAGCATATCCTAAGGAACTGGTCAGCATTCCTTAAGACAGTAAGCTTCATATTCATCAAAAAAAAGTTTCACATGGTAAGTTCATTGCTTCATCTGAGTTGCAGTAAATAGAAAAAACTTAAGAACCTTTCAGTTTTGTTAACTAGCACAGTCCTGAAGTGCAGGGTCTGGGTTATAGAACTGAGTAAATGCTACTACCCCAGCTCATACTACTATAGTTAAGGTAGTACCACTGAGTTAAGGTAAATCCTTCATGCTAGGAATGTGCTCAGATGCATATCTATTTCAGTCTTTTCATTAATTTGCACTTACTCTGCAAAGCAGATTTGCAGGATATGAATAACTTAGATTAAATCTTGAATTTCACTTTTGTGAAAGCTGCCCAATTTTAGTTTTTCTTAAAGCTGACAAGAAATGGACTTTAGGATTTTCTGGGTTTAAGATCTAGAATAGCAAATGAAGATTCTTAATACTCTTGTCTGGATGAGTTCAATGGTGCTGCTAAAGAGGCCGGCTCGCACCAACAGAGGTGAAGCTTCCATGCTGCTGTGGTCTAGCTTGTGGTGGTGGCGGCAGCCAGTCAGAAATAATTCCACTTGACTTGGATTTCTGTGTTATTTTTAAAATTGTAACAATCACGTCTTAATCAGTAGTGTTAAAAGTACCATTTCTTTAGTGCTTTGCAAAGAGAGCTGTTCCAATGCCTTGTTCTATATCTAGGAGTAGAATTTCTACAGTCTGTTCCTGTTAAGATTGTAGTGCCATTGTTTTAGCATCTGCATATCCAAGGAAATTTAACTGTCACCTGTAGTAGAGAATCTTTGGTGTCAGCAGAACCTGTATACCTTATCTGCTCTTACAGTGTTGTGGCTCAGCACTACATTTGGGGATTGACATGGACAAACATCACGGTGGACCTAAACTGACTTGATGCAAGTGGGACCTGAGAGAACGTAGAATCTGATAGATCCAGCCTATCTCTGTAGAAACAGTTGGTTCTCGTTTCCCAGCGTGCTGAATTGTTTCAAGATGTAAATAACCACGTTTAAATGACCCTGCTCATTAAAGGCTTCTGGACATAATGGTATTTCAGCAGAAAGCTTGCTGGTGTAGCAGTGCATGATTAAGCAACATTTTAGATAAGCTGTCCATGTGTGATTTAACTCAGTTACAGTAAGTTGCAGAAGGCTTTGCAGTCTGTGTTTTGGTTTTTTATGGCACATGCTGAAGCTAGAGAACACCTGTAACCGGCAACAGCTCTCAGAACAGAAAGCTTTAGCTAAGCTTTGAAATTCTTGAGGATGTCTTGGGTTTTTCCCCATACTGCTTCAGCTGTCTAACCACTCAGATTTCTAGTTGAACTTGATACATCAGGCTAAATTTTTGTTGCAGTGAGGTTGGGAAGCAGTGCTGAACACCTAGTTACCTATTGTGTAAAGCACACACGGTTTATGCTTGTACAATAGGACTCTTCTCCCTTCTGTTTGCTCTGAGGAATCTTGAGTTGTCAGTTGAACACTGGCTTGATTGGCCTGCCAGTGACAAGGTTTTTCATGTATTTGCTCATGCAACTTTTGCTGTTAGTGTGGTGGACTTAACATTCAGCTGCTTTGTAGTTTCAAACCAAAACTACAAAACTTGGTGCTATATGAATTCCCTAAAACTCAGCCTGCTGCTGTTCTGTTTTGTTTGCCTTTTTTAGTTAAATACCATCATTAATTTCTTGAATGTACCTTTATTCTTTCCTAGCTCGTACATGGAAGACCACCCCTCGGCCTTCCAGTAATGCTACTACTGCCGCCCCCCGGCCTTCCAGTAATGCTACTACTGCCGCCCCCCGGCCTTCCAGTAATGCTACTACTGCAGCCCCTCAGCCTTCCAGTAATGCTACTACCCCAGCTCATACTACTATAGGTAAGATAGTACCACTGAAAACAGAATGGCAATAAACTGGGAACTGATGAATAAAATAAAGGACAAGGGCTTTTTCCACAGATCAGTGTAGTAGCATGACTACTAAACATCTGATGTATGACATAGATAAATGATCCCAAGTTTTGGAAAAAGTGGATTTTATAAAACTCGGACAGAGAAAATGCTGCTTTCCAATATAATTAAGAATTGACGCAGTGGTAATGGTTTGAATTAGATTAGTCATTTCCACTGATCATGAGTTCTTACGAGTTTGACTTTTTTTATTTGTTGCCCAGTTCAAAAATTTCTGTTCTTCTGTGTGCTGCCATCTTAGCAGTGAAGTTCTTTTTAAAATATATATATATCTCATCTTTAAAAGCATCTGCTGCTTGAATGAGCTGGGTGGTTATGAGTTGGTACTTGATTATACTCAGAACAGCCTAGTGTACAGGGGGGTGACATTTAGCTTTGAATAAATCTACAAATGTTGGCACTTGTCCCAGGCACATAGCGGAATACTGATTAATTTTTAGTAATACTGATGTGGGGGGGGGGTGGTCAGAGACCCAGTGTTCTGGCTATACAACAAGAGCTTTTAGGAGACAGTCTAGCTACAGGTGAGTGCTTATTCCAATGATGTCATTCAGTTAGTGACACAGGGAGGAGGAGGAAGCTTTGCTATCTTTTAATTGTTTATCTCTGGTCTAGAGATATTACATCAAGTACTTCTTTAGTACAATAAATACTGACTGATTCTAAGGGCTGTTTAATGAAAGTCTTTTGCCTTGATGCAGATTCTCTGGTGTCTTGAAGCAGCTGTCTTAATTCTTGTTCAAATACTAGCATTTATATTAGTGTTTGAAAGAAAAGTGGTTTTGTCTGAATGAAGAATCACAGACTGATCTGTGGAGAACCATGAAATATTTGGATAACAATGGTATGCAAGTTAAAAAAAAAAATCCTTATTGCAGAAACTTGGCTTAATGCCGTGCAGCTGAACATCTAAATTGTGTGGGGTATATAGTATGAGGTCAAAGCTTATCCTTGTTTAAGCAAAACAAGACAAATCATTTACGTAAGAACTTCAGCGCTTGCAAATTTTGCTCTTGAAGTTTATGTATATACTGTCTTCTCTTAAACAGCTAACATCACCAATGTAACCAAACATGCTCCTCTATCTACAACTGCCATTACTTCAGCTACAACAACCAGTATTCCAGGTAACTGCTACTGCTAGCATAATTGAAGCATGAAATACTTAGAAATTAGTGTTGCTTTAAAAGCATTGTCTTGAAAGACTTACATTGAAGTAGTATTGGTGTATCTGCTGTTGTCACTTCTAACTTTATGGCATGTCTAATTTTGTTAGTGTGATGTATGTATGTAGGGAGGTAATACCCTGAGAAAGAGAGCTAGGTGGTGAGAGATTGAAGTCAGAAACATGTTGGTCAAACGAAATCAGCTGGCCACTTTTAATAGGGTGGCTGGAAGTCACTTGTTAACTCACTTATCTTTGGGAGGCGGTATTTTGTTTTTCACTTGCAGCATAATAATGGGATACCTATTAAAAAAAAAAGTTTGGGCTACAGTGATGAGAGTAAGCTGAAGTATTTTACTTCAGCATCAGTCCTGAATATGCTATTTCATGAAAAGCTGTCATGAGTAAAGCTCTTTAAAACCAGCCATCAGCAGATGGCTGTTACTTCCAGACTCGTGTGTTGTGGCTTCAGCTGATTTCTTTAAGCATAACTCTTGGGGTAAAGTACAGTAGATGGAAGATAATAATTTAATTTGAATTTAAGCAATAAACTGGAGCAAACAGCAGAGACTGGAAAATGTGTTTTGAATGTGAGCATTTCAATAATAACCTTTTATGTAAAGGAGGAAAGCTTTGGCTTTTTGAAGTACAAATAAGGTCCAGCTGGGACTTCCTCAGTATTGAGATCCAGAGCAGTTTGGCTAGAAATAGCTCTAGCCTTGTCCAAACAGTATTTAATCAGAATTTCAATATCACTAATCTAAATGCAGCTGCTGCTATGTCTTTACTTTTGATTATTTTTTGTTTCTTATTGGTGTTTGGATGTTTTCAGTAATCTTAATACAAGGAAGCCAATACTAAAATCTGTAAAACTATTGCAAGCATTGTGCACTCACAAACTCTAATGTGGTGTTTAACAGGTACAAATGCTACGGTGACTCCTACACCTTCGCGCAAATCTACATTTGATGCTGCGAGTTTCATAGGTGGAATTGTCCTTGTTCTGGGTCTGCAAGCTGTTGTTTTCTTTCTGTACAAATTCTGCAAGTCAAAAGACCGAAACTATCACACGCTTTAGGATCTGCCACTTTGTAATGGACTAGTAGCCCAACCAACACCTGTAGTTTACGGAACCAAAATATTTTCTGTTGCTCATGGAAGACAGCAGTTCATAATATCCTTTAAATCTCTAAAAGATGACTTTAAAAGAGTATTTTTTGTGACATTATACTTGGCAAGAGGTGATACGAATCTCTTCAACAGGATTACTTGCAATATGCTGCATGGGTTCTAATGGCTGTCTTATTTTCCTTTAGTGGCTGCTGCTGTGGGACTTTTTTTTTTAATATGCCAAATGTAGACGTTCAGAGATTCTTATTCAGTGGCAACACTGTCTTGAGTAGACAATCTCTTGATGACTTATTGTGAAGGCTAATTTAATCAACACTTGATACAGTATCCCTTTGGTTTTATCAAGATGTGAATTACCGGTGACTGACTTCAGGGAGTGAAATACCATTTATACTAGCGTGTGGCTCTTGGAGCATGCTGCTAGAAAGATGAACAAAATTGTAGAAATAGATAATGTCTTAATGGAATAACCCATAATTTTTTTTCTTACACAGGAATAAAGTTTGCCTGATAAAATACTGCATTCCAAACATAAATCCTGTGCCCTTTCCAATTAATGTTGAAGGTGGAGAGGGGATGTAGGGATAATCCTTCTAAAGAGGAAATGAAGATTAGTGCCTTAAAAGACTAAAAATCAGTAAACTGCAAAAGCATCTCACCTATCTCAAAGATCAATAAAACTATTAAGTACTGGCTTTATATAGGAGAATGGAACACACATCACTTAAGCATTCCAGTTTGAAAACTTTTTACACTAATTAACTGTCCCTTATTGACCTTGTTTGAGGGTGAGGGAGCACGGTACAGTAGTGTTTAGCTACAAACAGAAGCTTTAAGTTGTTTACCTTTTGTTCTGGCCTATAAAGACAAACCATAAAACTAGTGATAAAATTCAGTTCACTCCCTGTATAAAAAAGGCAACAACTTACATTTATACTTGAAATACTGGTGTTTGGGAAATCCGGAAGTTTTTCTTATTCAAATGGTTCTTAAACTCCTCACAGTTAATTTCAGGGGTTTGGGTGTGTTTTTCTTTTTTTACCCTCCTGTATGTCTGCTTGCTAAAGGACAATTAAGGGTAGTTCAGAGGATCTGCTGATTTGATCCTAGTCAGGATTGCTGTAATCCTGGGGTTGCCAGGGCTACACCTTTTTTTCTTTCTCCACCTCCCTTCCTGTCATCAGGTTAGTGTCAACCTGCAGTGAACTGGTTAAGGAAATCTACTCAGCCAAATAGTAGTGGGTTGGTTTGTTTTTTTTTCCCTTGGCTGGATCAGGCATGTGATCTGAGTATCAAAGGTACATCTCCAAGGTAGATTGACTTGAACACCTGTGAAAATAAACTCACAGGAAAAATGGAAGTAAAGATAAAATCAAGTGGTAGCTGTAGCACATAATACATAGCTTTTGATGATATCCCTTGATCATCAATTTCAGGAGAATCTGTAGTACCATCTGGCTAGCTCTGACTTGACTGGAATTTGGCACCCAATACGAAATGATAGCATTAATGCAGGTAATAGTCATGGCACTGGAACTTAAATATGAAGCAAATTAAGTGCACTTCAGTTAGAAACTTGAAAGTGCACAGTGTTGCTTTCATGTGTTCTAGTTTGAATGGCATCGTTTCTATTGTGCTGCACAGAAAACTCAAATTGCTGCAAAATACAGAAGTTACTCACCAGTACTGTATCTTTGAGTTCATTAGCTTTTGGTTTTCTAAACAAAACTAAGACAATCAGCTCAGGTTTATTAAAGCAGCAGAGTGAGCAGCCAATTTCTAGCAATGGGGTGGAGGGGGGGTGTTAGATATCCTTGGCCTTATTGTGAAATCACTTAATCTGCCCTTTCCCTATCTTGGAACTGTTCTATTACATTTATTTGTTTAAAAAGATATCCATGAGATTGTATTCTGTGCTTTGAAGTGAGCAAAATACTCTTAGTAAAGTGTGACAAAGTTCTCCTTCAGCTCACTCAGCAAAGCAAACTGTACACCTAGTATGTAATTATTTTTTTTGGCCTCAAAGGGCTATCTTCTGGGAGACTTGCAGAAAAGCGCTACAGACCACTTCATAGCATGGAAGACATTGCCACAAAAAAGTTGTTGCTCTGTAAAATGTTGCTAAAATGCTTATTTGTGAGCTATGCTGATCCTGATTTAGGTTGCTGATAAAGTATGCTGGTAAAGCAAACTAAAAATTATTTTTAAAGTGCCTTAAAGTTGCTGAATCTTTTGCCTCAAATTTTGTTTAAAAGGGTAGAAGGGATACCTTGCCTTACTTACTAAATTTTTCTTGGTGCCAACAATTGCTACTTTCCAAGTCTTTAGGAAACCCAGGATCTCTGACAGGTACAGATGCCAACCTGAAAAACACAAGCTTGTACTAGACCAATTTAGTCATGTTCCGGAAGGCCTGCGCTATGCACTGCTTGCTCCTTAGCCTTGCCAATAAGGTATAATCCACAGGTTACAGAGTTGTGGCTCGGATGTTTTCCCTTTCAGTTGTTTGGGGGGGAGGGGAGGCTGGTTTATACATCTCCATCATGTGCTTGGCTGCCTCACTATAGAAAGTAATTACTCCTCAGTGGGATGGCAGTATGGGCTGATCTGTGCTGTGTACTAGCAAAAAAAAAAAACCTGAAGTAACAACTTGCAGTTTTCTTGGCCTTGTGTTTTGAAGTGGAAGATAGCTCATAGATCTGTAGTTGTATTTGCCCCTAAATCAATTTTAGGCACTGAACTGTAGTAACTCTTCAAGTTAGTTATCTGGCTTTCTCTTGAAGCCAACTTGTGCAAATATCAAGCTGTTATCTTATGAATGTTCTCTGCAGGTGTTGCTGTAAAAGTTTGTATTTTGTCTTCAGTGGAAGAAAACTGAAACAGTTGTAATTGCAAAACCAAATTGACAAATAAAATCTGTTGAGTGGAATTTTACTTGTAAACTTTCTTTAATATGAGGAATCCCAGGGGGGACTGTCTGTCAACTTTCTGGAAATAAGAGCTGTTTTCCATAGAAATTGAGAAACATTGTAGGGCAAG